TAAGGATTGTGAATTAGAAGAAGGACCACTATTAAAAGAGTGACAATTCCTCGTTGGACATTTCCATCCCAAATTCACTTGTCTTTTTGTTAAATAAAATGTTTCTCCACAATTCCAACATTTGCCAACAAGTGTTCTTCTCTTTACAATCTTTTTGATAATATAATATGAAATAAATAACAGAATAAATCCGATTAAAATTCTCTCATACGAAAAATATAATATTAAATCTTGAATAATATGTTCCGAATATAATTTAATGTCCACCAAAAGTCTACCATCCACAATTTTAAACATATTTACTGTGGTGATGTTTTAAATTTTTATTCAACTTATTTTTAGAATTAAGAAAAATGTCTTCTTCGGAACCTCACTCATTGCCATCTACCAGCAATACAACAAGAACTCGCCAAAAAGTACCTCTTCCAAGTGGTTTTGGTTTAATGCATTGGTCCAGACAAGCCATGAAAATGCCCACAACTACTCAAAACAAAACTAAACAAATAACAAACAGTGAAATTGTAAAACACAATACCAGATCAGATGCTTGGGTAATTTTACGAGGATATGTTTATGATATAACAGATTTTTTACTACATCACCCAGGAGGGGTTGATATTTTGGATGAAATTTTAGGAAAAGATTGCACCAAGTTGTTTGATGAATATCATGCTTTCGTAAATTCTGATTTCATATTAGAAAAGTAAGTTTTATCATATTTTGTTTAATTTGTATTTATTTTATAGATGTTTGGTTGGTGTTGTGTCAAAGAATTAATTCGATGTATTTCTAAATTATTTCTCTTTCTTGGGTTGGGTTCTGTGAATATCGAATAGTAACTGATCGAATGCATTTGTTTCGTTTGGTAAACTATTACTGATATTTCCTTGAATAGGTAAAGGGCTTACATCAAATATATCTAAACTATTTTCCATTCCGATCAAGTTATTGGATTGTTGTGAGTTCATTAATGTTGGAGTTTGTACATCATCTTGCAAATACTTATTTAGCATTGAAGGATTCATTGAACCAATATTTTTCACCTTACTTAAATCTAGTCTACTACTTGGTTGGTTCAATAATTGTAAAATTCTTGGAGGGTGATTTTGATGTGGTTTTGATTCACTTCCTTTCATTAGATCAGGTGTATGTGGGCTATCTAGAACACTAGATTGACCAATAGAAAGCAGCATATCCTTGGATATTGATGATTCTAATGAATTTTCTTCTCTATTTGAATAATTTCCATAGAAAGTACTATCAAAAAATGGATAAGGATTCAGTTCTGGAATCCTCTCATTCAATAGTTTTGCTGCAGTTCCTGGTTGCCTTCCAAAAGATGTATCTATATGTATTGGGGCTATGGGCTCTGCTCTATCTTGGATACTTTCTAGTGAAACTAGATTGGTGATAAAAGCTTGTACTGCTCTATTTCTTTCAGTTGAATTTGTCATTTCACCAATGAATTGAACCAATTCTCCCAATTCCGATTCAAATTTTGATAAAAGAGAAATATCATTACTTTTTTGTTTCTTTGAGGTTGTTTTGCTTTTGATTTTCCTCTTTCTCTTTCTAGGTTCTTCTGATTCGTCCAATTTCTTGCTTCTTCTTGCATATATTTTGAAAGGAGCACTATCGAAAATAATTATTGGTTTTCTTTCCTTAAATTCCTTGTTGAGATAAAAACTAACTCTCATAACGTAGGAATTTTTCTTATTGTGTTGTGATTGATCAGAAAATTGCATCTTAGTCTTATTTAATAGGCATATCCATTCCCTTTCATCACAATCATTGTCCTCTTTACTTATTTCTCTTCTTAATTGTTGAAGGAATGGTTTGAAAGCTTTTGATTCAGTAGCTTCTATTGATTCTATAGGTTGTAGTGCTAATTCTGACTCACCTTTCAAAACATCTTGGCATATTTCGTCCTTCTTCAAAGTTTCTTCGTCTGTATCGTCATCCTCTTCATTTTTAACAATAAGCGATTCTACTGTGGCTATTATGATACCTCCATAACTTTTTTGATTAATTGCCAATTCGGTGGCTCTTTTCTTATTAATAAATGTTGAAATGTTAAACTGATACTTTAAACTGGAGTACAGTTGAGAGGAAATGTTTACTTCAATATCGTCAGTTCTTGTCTTGATTTTGAATGATGTATTTCTTAATAATCCTTTATACTCCTCCGATTCAAAAGCAACCTTCCATGACCTTTCATTTGAGATGAAACTCTCTCGTTTAACATTAAAAGATTGATTCGAAAAGGCAGAAGAATTGCTCAAACAGCTACTGGATGATGCATCTTCCTCTTCACTTGAGTGAGTATTATTAATAGTTTCTATGAATGAGTTTTGATATAAAGTTTGGGTTGTTTGTGGTAGTATTGTCATTGATTTTTTTTCGTTTTGGTTTTTTCTATTTATATCTGGAAAAACCATATTTTTTGGTTCTTGAATAGTGGAACCTTCATTCGAAAGGAAATAGTTCTTGTCATTTTGAGTTTGTTGTTGCATGTTGGAAAGAGAGTTGCCAGTATGCAAATCTGATTGAAATAATGAGTTGAGAAGGTAATCTCTAACATATTGAGAATTACCAGTATTTGTTTCATTGCTTGAATGATTATTATTTGAGGTTGGAAGAACCATGATGGGTTGATGATAAGAATCAAAGTTGTAATTGTTTGTAGGAGAATCAAGAGTTAATTCTTTGGAGTTATTACAACAGTCGCAATTTGTACAATTTACTTGGCAATACTTGTTGAATGAAGAAGAAAAGGCAAGGTTTTCAAAATAACGGCACTTGGAGCAATTGTTGCCACTTGTTGATGCTTCTTTTTCAAATAGTAAAAAGTGATCATTGTTCTCTTCTCCCTCAATAGAAAGAGGTGAAGGAACAGAAAATGTTTCGAATTTGGATAATTGACTAACATAGAGTTGTGGTAAGATGTGATTCATCAACATGGCAACAACTACTTTGGTCATTCCTTCGTCCACCAATTTTGATGATGTATCTTGGAGGAATTCATAACCGGATCTTAACGGAATCACTGCAGCCATCTTTTTTGAAAATCTAATTGAAATGCAATTAAATTAGAGCGCTTTCAATAACATATTGGCGGGCGCACAAATTATTAACCAATTTGTATTGAATCACTACGTGTTTTCAATTTAATTTTATATTTAATAGTTTGTATTAGTATTTCACTTGCAAGTTGTATTTTGGAAACGAAAAACAGGTTTTTAGAATATTTAATTTATTTACTTGATGATTCATATTTTTAATTAATTGAAAAAAAACATCAACTAAAATTTTGATTAAAAAAAAATGACAAAAAAGCGTTCCACAACACCTTCAAAAGCAGCACCAAACATTACCAGCCCAACAAAAAGTTTACCACCCAGCAACAATATTACGGAGTCAAATACTAGTAACAATGTTGAAAGTGATACAACAAATTATGATTTAATTAATAATACATCTTCAATCAAGTGTATCTTATCTTGTGATAAATCTTTGGAAGGAAAAATTAATAATGAATCCATAAAAGAAATCATTGGATTGGAATCATCATCACAATATATTCTTTCCGTGAAACAAGAGAATGATAACTTTTCATTCACTAGATTTGAAAAGTTGAAGGACCAAATTGAAAATTTGACTACCTACAGCACAAAAAGTAATTCATCTAGAATATATTTTAATAATGACTCGCTAGTTTACTATACTAAGAATAAGTCATCTATTACGGAACATACTGTAGATGGTAATCAATCAAAGATTGTAAATCATGTAAAGGATATCAAATTCTACCAAATAGTTAAAAATATATTTGAAAATGAATTTATTCACATTAATCATGAACATGTTTTACATACAATTCAAGGATCATCTATTAGCATTTCTTTGAAGAAATTATTAACCAATGTTGAGCAATACGAGTATAAATATAGTACTGAATCATGTTTGATTTACTTAGATATTTCAACCAATACATTATTTTCCTATAATTTTATTAAAGACCAAAATACTAAATTGGTTACTTTCAAAAAATTGTTCAAGAATATTAATATTTCAAAATATGACAATGACTACTTATTACTTACAATGAACAACCAAAACTCCACAATTATCCAAATTTGGAATAAGGATTTAACAACAGTAATGAAATATGCACTAATCAAGAATAATTTGAGATTTGTTGCTTATAACCAACCTTTTGTTATTTTTGATAAGTGTTTATTCAAAATGTTCAAATTTGATGGTATAAAGTTTACAAAGGCTATCCAAATCAAGAATAGAAAATTGACCAACATTTTTGTTGACTCCCACAAGACTGATAATGGTTTTGTGTTTTCTATTCACGATTCATCTCAATGGAATAAGATTGAAACAGAATTACAACAAAAACGTTTAAATATTCTAGATGCTTTACTGAAGAATTCTTCTAATTTATTAGAATATATCAAACAATTACCATTGATTGAATATTATCAGATTTTATTGGAACATGTTTTCAATAATATTTCCAATGATAATGTCTTACCCTGCTTAGATTATTTACTTTCTAATTATACCCAAATTGAAAGAAGTGATGGAATGACAAGTATTCATATTGGTATTATGAATAAGATAGTTAATTATTTATTGGACAATTATAGTGCAAAGTATAGAACAAGTTTGAATCTCATTGTAAAATTGCTCATTTTATCAGATGAACAAATTATTCGTTATATCAGTATTTACAACAGAGAAAATTATCAGGAAGGTTTAAGACTTGTATTGAATAGCCAGTACAGAAATGTACAATTATTGAGTATGATGAAATTTGTCAAGACTTTAGATTTTGAAGCAGTTGTTACGGTTTTGAATTTATTGAAAGATGAAGCAGTTCATATTGAATCATGTATGGTTTGGACACAAATATTGGTTCATTCACATTTTGGAGAATTTTTACTTAAAAAGGATTGCTTAGAAGTTATTCAAACGATTCAAACAAGAATTAAGAGCAGTATTTCACAACTTAAACAATTATCTCTAGTGAAGAGTGAATTAGGTATCATTAGCTCAGGAATGGTATTACCAAAGAAGAAGGAGAAGAGTAAGGAAAAGTTGTTATTGAATGGAGCTCGTTGGAATTCTGGAGAAACTGATTATAACATTTCTCTTAATTACTTTTAACTTTATTTAGAGGTTTGACATCTGAGCGATTTCTTGAGTTTGTACCCGTAATAAACTATCATAGATGAAATAAAAACACCATAACCATTCAAAACACTTGAAATAATGAGAGTTAAATAGGAGTATGTATGTTCCAAACTTGTAAAGTAGTAGAAAACATGATTGATTAAAGAGAAAAACCAAACAAATGTCATTCCCATCAAACCAAATTGAATGAACAAGTAGAGATTCAAAGATCTTGAATATTTCAAACTGTGAAAAGTGCTCAATGATATCAAACCAAAATAAACGAACAACAAAATAATGTTCAGTATTGGATGATAATCAAATAGGGTCGGAATAATTTCACCATGAATATCTAATGATTTGAAAAATTTAATCTCAGAAAGAGCATTAATAATATGAACAATTGAAATTATAGAAAAATAAATTAATGAAAGGAAATATAATACTTTTAATGTCCACAAATTGTCCCTTATTTCAAAATTTTTAATAGTTGATGATGATAGTAGTAGTGGTTGAGAGTTGTTGTGTTTCCTCTTAATGTTTTGAGTTCTGTTTGGCTTCATTTTTAGTATTTTTAGTGGCACATTTTCAATAAAAAATGCTTATCGACAAGACTGTAGGTGGAGGTCTTGTTTTTGCAAGTAATCACTCTCACCACAATCATCATCATAAACATTCAACGGGAAATCATTTTCTTCCAGTTTGTCCTTTTTTTAATAATATTCCTAGCAACAACAACCAAGGAACATCGGAATTTTGTGTTGATATTATGTTTTTAAGAATTTTAGGTGGATTAGATTTATATTATTTTATTACATTAATTCCAAACTTGATATTTATATTATATTTATTATTTAAATTAAAAATTTCCGTTAAAATTTTAAAGAAAACGGATAGTTTACTACTGCCAGCCCTTTATACATTTGTATGGTGTGTATGTGTAGTGCATTTAGTCACGTGTTTGTCAACAGCAAGCGTTGCATTAATTGGAGAAAATATTTTCTATATTGAAGAAAATTTACAAACCTCACCCTTGTATCAGTACAATGTAAATAATTCCCAACCTGTACCACCACATCCTAATAATCATATCTCTTTAATATCTACTCAAAACATTCCATCAAATGAGTTGGATATTGCAACAAAGGTATGCCTCTCGATACTTAATCTATTGATGGAATTTATTGAACTTTGTGTTGTAGTATATATGATGCATCATTTCTCTCCAAGAAAATTGATAGCATCACTGAGTAATCTTAAAGTTTTAGTTAGAAGTGCAATTATTGCTGGACTAGTCTCTGTTTTAGATAATGCAGCTGCTGTTTCAGTAATGTTCATATTTCCTTTCTATAATGAAACAGGTTTTCCATCAATTATGACAACAAATGTTCTCGAATCAGCCCTACAAGAAACTATTGTGAGAGGATTATTTACCATTATGTATATTGTTATTATCATTTTACCGTGTATAGGATTTATGAAGGATAGAGTTCCTCAGAGGAAATCATTTTATTTGTACATATTATTTTTAATGACACTACATTCTGTAAATTTCGTTGGAGGTGTACTATTACTAACATGTCAAAGCGTTGGAATTTGTTTTACAATGTCATCTAGGGTACTTTATTTTGCCCTTTTTGGACCAGTATTATATTTTACATTCCTAGATGGCAATTTGAATAGATCAGTTTATGAGCAAATTACTCTTGAAACAGAAGCGAATAATAATGCAGGCAATGTGACCTCTTCTCCTTCTGCTCATATAATTGCAATTGACAGAGTATTTGATCCTTCTGAAGAAAATGAAGAAGAAAGAATTCAAACTTTAATGACTAATATTAAAAAGAATAAGAGAAGGAAACCTACTGAAATTGATGAAAATGTTTATGTTGATGATGAGAATTTCCAATCCTTCCCAAATTATCAAAGCGGATCAATAAATTAGTAATTCATATTCCTCAATCTCATTTTAAGCTGGGAGCTTTGTTTTTCAATTTCTTCTAACCTTAGCTCCAAGCTCATTTTTTGTTTTTTAGCTGCAATACTCTTTATCCCCATTGAAAATAGCTTTTGCATATCACCTTCTAATCTTGTTTTTTCGAGAGAGAGTTGCATTAACTGTTCATCAATGTTAGCTGTTTGTAAACTTGAAATATTATCATCCAGCGCGAAAGGAGTAAGGCTGTATGAAGTACCCATAATTTTGTTTCTATTGTACTGCCTCTCTTTTGGGCTTTCTCTGTTGATGATAGACATTACTTTCGCAGTAGTGGCACTTTGTTTTGGGGTATCAACAATTGCATGTTCTTTGCTTATTTCTGGTTGTTGATATCGATTATTTTGGAGATTTTGGGTTCGCTGAAGATTTTGGTCTCTAGCAGCATAATCATAATGACTAGCTTCTCTAGCGTTAGTATTTGTGGAGGTACCTGTAAATGAAGTTGTTGCTTCATTTCCAATTAAACTCTGAGTTGAGTATGAAGATAATGGAATGTTTGTATTTTTCCTGTTGTAATTCAAGTTCGATTGGTGGTAGGTATAGTTTGGAGTATTGTTTTCAATATCATTAATTGGAAAGGAGGCATGGTCATTTACACTTTTTATCATGTAACTGTTGGAGTGAGTAGATTTTTCATTCTTGAGAATGTTAATTGTTTCACGAAGGTGTAGTATTTCTCTTCTACAATTTTCCAACTCCTGTTGAGATCTTTGCTTATTGAGTTGGTATTGTTCTCTATCTTGATGAAATATTGATTGCTCTTGAGAATTGTGATTTAACTCTTCCTCAGTAATTTGAATTTTAGCCCTTAATTGGTCATTGGTTTTTTCAAGTTGAATCTTTGTTGTTTCTATAGAATTATATCTTTGAGAGAGAATCTCATTCTCTCTTTGAATTTGTTTAGATTGGAATTCCAAGTTCTTCAATTTTTCTTGAAGTTGTTGATTGGTCTTGTCGCTCTCAGTGTACATGGCTAAAGCCTTTTCTCGCTCATTAATTTCCTTAAATTCTCTTTCTTTTAAATTTTTAATCTCCTTTTCTTGAGTTTCAATCTTGTTTGACAACCCATTTAATGTTTCCTCTTTGTTCCTTATTTTGGCTTCACTTTCTTTTAATTGTCTAGTGCATTCTCCCAGATCATATTTCATTTTTTCTATTTGATCCATCAACACCATCTTCTCATTTTCCATATTAGCTATTGATTTCCGCTTATTATCCAAATCATTTAATAACTTATTCGTATCCTGCCCATCTTTGCTCCTATCGATGACACCAAGTTGTTCTCTCAATCTTTCATTTTCACGTTGAAGATCAGTTATTCTAGTTTCCTTATCCCCAAGAATGGTTTCAAATCGCTTTTGTTGAATTTGAAGCTCTTCAGTGTGTCTTTCCTGCAGCGATCTTACTTTTTCGTTGTGACTTTTTGATTGTTCTGCCTTTTCTTTCCTTAGGAAGGTAACTTCTCCTGAAAGTTTGGTTATTTCTTCCTGTGATTTTCTTAATTGAGCATTTGAAGGAGTAATTTCTTCCATTACTTGCTCTGAGTTAGTGTTCTTATTTAAAAGAGATGAAGGGTACCTAGGAGCCTTTCTTTTTGGTATTACTTCTTCTCTCAATTGCTCCTTAATGGGAGAGTCTTCTTCTGACTCTTCTCTTTTTGTGGTAGCAAACCCCCTTCCCATATTAGGAAGCATTCTAGCCGATAATGATCTTCTATGGGAAGGAAGTGGTTTTTTAATTGGAGATTCATGTATTGATTGTGGGCTCCTCGGATCATACTCATCTTCTTGCTCTTGTGTGTCACTTTCATTGAAAGAGTCCTCTAAATCATCCATATGTAGAGTATGTTGCCTGGCAGGCTTGAAAAGTCGTGAATCTGAGTCATCAAGCTGAAAACTATCTTCATTATTGTAAATATCCCTCGTCTGTTTGTTTAAATACTTTGTCATCTCGTATAATGACTCCTGTTGTGGGGGTATTGGCTCTTTTCTTGGTTTTGATTTGTTACTTAATAATCTTGATGAAAGTTTTGTCTCTTCCGGTTGAATACTTGTTGAAGGTCTTGTGGATACTTGTTGTATTTTTGTAGATGATGAAGCAATATTGCTTGTAGTAGGTCGTTTTCCAACAAAAACCTGTATATCATTATTGTTTTGTTGTTGTTTGAAAAAGTCTGGATTAGCCTTCCATCCACTCTTTGTCATTTTTTGATTAATTAAAAACGTATTTAAAATTGGAGGGAATTGGTACAACTTCAAATTTATTGATAAAATTCAAAAAAAAAATAGCACAACAATAGCAATGGTCGTCTCAAAGAATAAGAAAGTGAGCGTTGGATCTAAACTCCGCAAAAAGTTGATTTCATCAAGAACAATAGAAAAAAACAAGACTTGGAATAAAGCAACAGGAATTAAAAAACAAGTGAAAGAGGAAATTTTAAAAAAGGAACAAAGCAAAATTAAACCAATGATTACACACAAACCACAACAAGTCAGCAGCATGTTTTTCTCTCATAACGAAGCCCTTGGACCTCCATACAGAATTCTTCTAGATACCAACTTTATTAACTTTTCAATCCAAAACAAACTTGACATTATCAAAGCTGGTATGGATTGTCTTTATGCTAAATGCATTCCTTGTATCACAGATTGTGTCATTGCAGAATTGGAGAAACTTGGACCAAAGTTTAAAGTAGCTCTCCGAGCTGCTAAAGATCCTCGTTTTGTTAGACTAAAATGCACACACAAGGGTTGTTATGCTGACGATTGTATTGTGAATAGAGTTAGTGCCAATCCTGTTTATATTGTTGGAACTTGTGACAAGGATTTAAAAAGAAGATTAAGAAAAATTCCTGGCGTTCCTCTAATGTACATAAGAAGTAGACAATACACTGTTGAAAGACTTCCAGTAGGTTTTTTTCATATTGAACATTTTCTTTATCAATTTCATAGGATGTTGACAGAATGGGGGCTGGCCTTTAAGTGGATTTTTCAACATTTACAGACTGACTATGAGTTATTTAATGAGATTCTTGTAAAAGATTATTACAATTTAGAAATAGTTGGAACTATTTTAAAACGTTACAACAATAAATTAAAAAACCATTGCCAAAAAAATGCAACTAACAGATATTCTAACCACACCAACAAAAACTTCCGATCCCACCTTTGCAAAATTCATAGAATCCCTAAACAGTGATCCTCTTTCTCGAAACTGTGAAGTGAAAAAATTTTCTGATTGTGAATATTGGAATTATTATTTGCTTGGATATCTTTCATGACAAAGTCGGATTTTAAAACAATT